GCAGCGAGATGGCACTGTAGGAACAGCTGTCCCTGACGTCACATGCTCTGGGTGTGAGTCCAGCTCCTCTGGGCAACCCTAGGCCAATCGCTTTCCCTCTGGGGCTTCAGCTACAAGGCCAGTGTGCAAGGTTGAAGATGTGGGGAGCCCCGCATACATCAAGGGATCTGGGGGCACCAAACAGGGACCAAGGGCTGACAGCCACCAAGCTCTCCAGGCCTTGACTCTGCCGTGTGGGAAGCCTCTTGCCTCCGAGCCCCGTCCCCACGTACCTCCCCAGACTCATTGCCTCCGCTCCTTCCCATTGGGAACTGCAGCTACTGCGAACGCAGAGTTCTGGTCTACATCTCCAGCCACCTCGCAGGCCCCTCTCCCCTTACCTCCATTCAGTGTCATCCGACATCACCTCTTCCAGGGGACCCTTCCTGCCTCCAGGCATCGTTTGGACTCCTTTTCTGTCTTCGGTTCTCATTTGCCTTGAGCCATCATTGGTTTATGGGTAGGTCTCCCCTAGACCTCTTTTTTTTTCTTTTTTTATTTCTTTCTTCTATGAGCGATACAGAGAGAAAGACAGAGGGAGAAGACAGAGAGACATCTGGGTCTTTTTTTTTGGAGAGGTTTTTGCTACAAGGTGCGTGCGCTCGCCAGACAGACAGAGAGAGACAGAGAGACAGAGAGACAGAAAGCGAGAAATCACCCCCCAGGGGGGATGGCCACGCCGCAATCCCTTCTCCTCCATTCTCCTCTTGGGATCTTGGGCACGCACGCACACGCACCTGGCGTGAGTTTTAAGCCACCGGGTCCGGGACGCGAACCGCGGTTGACTACATGGGAGTCCAGCGACATAGCCATTATGCTAACTGCTGGCTCCCCAGACATCTGGGTCTTGATGCCATGCTCCACCCCCGACCTCAGCTGGCCTGGATCACAGCATGTTCTGGGAGTCTCTGGATGTGAACCCAGAACCTCCCCACGTGGGCTAGCCTCAGAGTGCTGAGTTACTGCAGTGCCACTGTCACTCATGTTTTCCACTCTCCACCACCCCCGCCGGACTCAGGGTCTGCCATCCCATGGCAGCGTCCTGGGACCTGGTGTCTTTGGGAGCCGTGTGCCCTGGAGTTGGTTTTGTGTGTGTCTGCCTTCCCCATCAGGCTCCATGCTCCAGGAGGACAGGGACCAGGTCGGACCCAGTCGGTACCCTGATCCGTAAGGAGGGTCCGGAGTAAACACTTGGGGAAGGTTCTGGACGGGGAGTCACCAGCACACGATAATCTTGCACTCGTGGCTGGAGGGAACTGGACTGGGTGGACTCCATGCCTCCATTCACTCGTTCAACCACAGATGCCCACTGCGGGCGCATGCACCAGCTCCTGGGGTAGGGGTGAGGCTAGATGAAGAGGGCCTGCTGGGGCTGGCACTGGCGCAAGGGCTGAAGCACAAAACGGCAAAAGCGAGAAGAAAACATCGGATACCATTTTGGACGGGGGCACCTGCCGGGAAGGGGCGCGCAGAAAGGGGTGCACCGTGCAGGGTGGGGATGTATCCGAGGTCAGGGTCAGGGGCCAGCTGAGCCGAGAATGATGTGATTGCCAAGTCCTTGGACGGATGGACTGTGGCTGGCAGTGACCTTGGGTAGCCGGAGGACAGCAGGGATGCTGGGAGATGGGGGCAAACTGAGGTAAAAAGTGACGGAGGAGATGGAATGGGGACATAGTTTCAGCTCTGAGCCTGAAGCTTCCTCAGGGAAGCCCTTGCCAGGGCCAGGCCCCACCAGCAAACCACTTCCTGGGCCATCCAGGTGAAAGACCCATGTGGGGTGCTCTCCCCAACTTCTCTCACTAGTCTTCGAAATGACCTCGTGAGAAGATTTTCACCCGATTCCACACACAGGCAAACTGAGGCTCAGAGAGGTTAAGCAATCTGCCCAAGGTGACACAGTCAAGAAGAGAGGGAATTGAACCTAGGTCACGTCGCAGAGGGTGATTTACCAAGACTGGAGCATTCACTTGCCAGGGACCCCATCATCAGTGACGTCAGCCCTATAGGGACAGGCTGGCAGCAGGCCCTCTGGGTAGGCATGTCCCATGGCCACAGAGCTGATGGGGAGAGAGCTGGGGTTCAAGCC